AGGGGGTTTAATTTCACCTAAAAAAATAATAAAATACATTCAGTATTTGGAACTTATGACCGAGCGGAGTTGCTTTAAGTGGCTGGATCTGGTAATGTGTTAGGGTAACGCAATTACTAATCATGTAACTTTTTTTTTCTGGCAGGTTTTTTCTTCTCAGCTATTTTGTGGTTAGGTTTAGATAATGAAAGGTATATAAATAAGCAGTTCTAATCTTTAAGATGAGTTAGCATTATATTTGCTCCTACCTTTTTTTTTTATCGAAAAAGGCTTATATATTCAAATTTTATTTTCGAGGTAATGTTTATTACGCTTCTGCAGGTTTTATTATTTAGGTGTGGGGAAATTATAGGCCTTACTACTTACTCATTATCATTATGTATTTTTACGTTTAGGAACGCAAAATGGGTGATAACGACCGCATTAATATTGATCTTAACTGTTACTTTTCGATTAGTGGTTATCAACATTATACTCGTACATTTAATGTTTTTAATGGAGATAAAGTTAAAAAAAGTTTAATACCTCAAGTTCGGGCTGGCCTACCAGATGGATTAACTAATGCTAATTTTCGGCTTCGTAGATATTTTCCTACTGTTGGGGACTACTTCGCAATTATGAATCCGGATAGTAATATCTATGACCATTTCTCTACAAATCCTAATCAAGATGTTGTTCATATCATCGTAGAATTGTTACCCTCCCGTTAGATAATAGAATTTTTTTTTATTTTATTCGCACCTGTAACAGCGATATATTTTTTATTGGTATTGTTGTTCCGGCAACAATTTTTATTAAATAAAGAAGGGCTCGTCATTTTTACGCGATCGTGTATTATTAATATCTAGTTAATTTCTTTTTGTCTTACGCTTTCACATTTACTATGGGGATTCCACTAAGGGATTTCTTACAACAATAGAGACGATACGTTTTTTCGCCACAATAATTTCCATCACCCCACCAACCTTCTACACCATCTCCTTTATGCTCTTCATTACATGCTGGACATATTCCTGAATTAACATAATAATCACTATATTCATTGCTATATTTAAGTGATAAATTATTGAATTGCTCCAATGTGGTATAAATAACAAGATTTCGTCTTTCTTCTGGATCATCGGGTAAGATAGAAATTGGAAGATGAGAATTGAAAGATGCATTTTTGTTTATAGGTAATATGCATACCTCTGTTTCTGACGAAACCTTTTCAGGCAATACACTCACCTCAGTTGAATCCTTTGGATTCGTTTCCAGTAAAATATTATCCTGTAGAATATAGTTATTGTTATTAGTATTTGATGAAGATTTGTTATCCTCACTTATCATATCTTCCGAACTAGGGGCATGGGATGATTCAGCAGATATACTTGCCTTAATATTTGATACGTCTTTCAA